TTAGTGATTCTCTGCCTGAAATGAATGTGAGTAAAGAGAAAAAGCCTGCACCTTTTGTTGTGCTGAATCTACTGACACAATCAGAATAGGGTTGACTTACATCTAGGTGAAGTCCTATTTCGTTAAAGTAGTAGCAGCGATCAAGGGCTGAGCAGACGACACAGCTGTGGGGAAAGGACTGCTATGCCCATTCAAGGGTAAGTTCTTCAGATACCAAGACTGAGACTCAAATTGCATAGCCAGGAATAAGAAAAGAAAGTCCAAAGTACTGGTAGCAGCTGAAAAACAGGGCTTATGTGAGCAACTGGTTCTTCTATAACTATTCAAATGCTTTATGCCTTTTGGCATTAAGTCAGCTCCTCTCCTTACTGAGGAAAGGTAAAATGCATTGAACACATACTACATTAGCCCTGCCATCCTACTGCTTCATGTTTTGTAACAACATTCTACTTGGACTCTGTCACAGGGCAAAGCAAACAGAGAATTGCTGACAGAAGCTATCCCATCATCAAGAGTCCCAGTGGACCACAAACAAGGTCAGATAGAACAAACTTACAGTCTCCCACATGGCTCATAGGCTGCCAGGAGAAGTCTGTCCCTCAGGTCTGCTGGGGCACAGCTAGGCTGCCTTTCAGGGACCCCGCCTAACGGATCTGTTTTCATTCACAGACCTTATCAGCTGAGATATGCTCTGTTTAGGTAAGTCTTTTTCCTCAGAGCTTCACATAAGCATGTCAGGTCAGGGCTAAAAGACCCACAGCAGGTTATTTCTCTTGGATGTTTATGGTAGGGGGTCATATACTTCACTGTAAGCTTTATTATCCCCTTCTGCTGACTGTCACTGCAGAAAGTAAAGTGGATTACACTTTTAGGTTATAAAAATGGTCTAGCTCTCTTTCAGGGCTTAGTTTGGATCCTGCTGCCCCATAGGCTGAAAAAATGCATGAGTGAGAATTGTAGGGAAATATTGAAGAATGTTAATAAAATCACCTACATATGAATGAGAGACTCCATAAAATACATGTGTTTGCCACAGACAGAACGAATACACAGTCCATAAATGAAAATTAAACCATTTATGTCTACCACAATCCTTCCTTTCCTTCTCTACCATTAAGAATTCTAGTAGCATGAAAAGGAACTTTCCCTATAACATAAGGACACACAACAGCTACACAGACAATTAATACAAGGTAGACTAAGACAGATTTCTTGGAATGAGGACAAAATACCCTATCTCCCTACAAAAACTTTGCAGAATTGTCCAGTTCCTAAAGAATATCATTAGAACAACACTGAGAGTAACATCAGTGTCAGTCCAGGCTCTATAGATTTCCATACTGTGAACTATAGGCATTTTTCTGGTTTCGGTGTATGTATAACACAAGACTAACTAGTTTCCTGTTCCCTCAATATCCCTCCCTTCAAGAGAGATTTGGTGTGATCCCTCTTCCCACCACAGGTCCCTGCTACAACTCAGGCCAACCTGCTGGTCTGGAGCATGAAGTTGTCAACTGGAGGACAACTGTGGTAATGCCCCAGATCGTGATAGATAACTCCCAAACCAGCATTCAGAGGTGTCTCATTTGATACTTTTGCCAGGAGCAGTCACTTTCCACAGTCCAGTGTGGAAACTCCCAATGCAGCTGTTGTCCTGCTGTTCCTTGCCTGTGCTCTCAAAAGTAAAGCCTGAGAGGCAGATGGCGCATGAAGTTGCTCCATGTGTTATTTCCTAAAGCCTTTGCTCTGTCTTAGCAACCATGGGTTTTTTCTTAACTTCTTTCCCTTTAGCAACAGGCCAAGAACCTGTTTCTCTGCCACTGCACCCTGATAAAAATCTCATTACTCAGATAAAAATCTCCCCATCCTACCTTCTAGTCAGTTCTGGTGCACAGATTTATTGGGATGGGATCTCGTGGGAACTGCTCCCAGCACTTGTTGAGTTTGTATGGCCATCACAGAGCAGGCTGCCTCACACCACAGCAAGTTATCATTGATCTCAACTCTGTAAAAGCTGGTATGCACAGAGGTATGGTCTCTCCCAGTCCGCTGAGTGATGGTATCTCGTCCCAGAAGAAGCAATAGCTCAGGGCTTCCACCGAATTCTTGGAACATGGTGCAAACGGATTCATACACAGCAGCAATCTCCAAGTCTCCCTCAGCCAGAAACATAGTCCTCCATACATGAAACCCATGCTTCAAGCACTGATGGGCCTCAGTAAAGCACCTTTATGTAGGGTGGACCAAGTTTGGGAGAACAGGTCAGAAGGCCAGAGATGTGGGGGGAGAGCTTTGATTAAGGGTTTGCATTGCCTTTGCAGTGCTCAAAGCACATTGCCAGGATCACTGTGGAAATGAGCAAGTACATTCAGAAACATCACCTTCCTAGAGACAGGGACTCAACTCCACTTGCAAAAAATGTATCCAGGATCAATATGCAATGGCATGAGTTAAAGCAGTGCAGTGAGAGAGCTGCTGTCAAAGTCAGCCTCTCCTTGAGGCAGCAGCTGTGTGATATATGTTTTGTTATAGAGTTTAGCCCCAGTACTTCACTGCAGTAAGAGTGGTGATCTACAGACCCACAACAGAAAGGAAGTGTTCATGTATTTCTTGAAAACAGGTTTTACCCAAATAGGCACATAAAAAGAGAATGTAAAGAATCTGAATTTCCATATGAGAAAAGTTTTACTCCTCTAACAGACTTTAAAACATACTTTATAGACATAAAACATATTTTACAGACATCCTGATATGTTAATAAGAATGACTGAGGGCTTCTGTTGATTTTAAAAGCTTTAAAGAATGATAGCAAGAGACTGGAGTAATTCCTTAAGTGATGGATTTAAATTGCAATGCTTAGTTTATTTATCAGCCATAACAATAATTCATGAATGACATTTGTCACAGGACAATTCTTTGACGGTTTATGCTATGCCTAATGTCACTGTCTCAAAGTTTTTTGCTGACCTTGTGGACTGCAAAGAGACACATTGAGAGCTACAGCAGAATAAGTCTATTGTTTCAGGGATTTTTCTCTTTTTTTTTTTGTCAATGATTTCTTAAGAGCTCCTAGGCAAAGAGTTGGAACATATGAGAAAGAACAGGTTGATTGAGGATAAACAGCCTAGGCAGCAAAGAGCAATGTAAAGAAGAAAAGACTCTGTAGGGACCAGCTCAGGTGAATACTGGTCATCATCATGTACTGGAGAAGATGTAGTAGCATTACAAGACTTGTTACCTATTGGGATAAAGGTTTTAGTGAGTAGCAAAACTCCTTAGCAGAGAGAATTCACTTTGAAAAATAACAACATACTTTAAAAAAGTTATCTTTCAAGGAAAATTTGGAAAACATATTAATAACTTCAATTGTGTTTCGACCCTGGCTGGATGCCAAGTGCCCACCAAAGCCACTCTATCACTTCCTTCCTCAATTGGACAGGGGAGAGAAAATATAATGAAAGTTTAATGTGTTGAAATAAGGACAGGGAGAGATTACTGTCAAAGGCAAAACAGACTTGTGTTGGATTCCAAATTTTTGGATATGAGAAAAAGAAAACTACTAGGTTTAAACAAAAGCCTTGGGCTGACAGAGGCTGGGAAAAAACCTCCATTTAGAGTCCAGACAAGGATCTATTGATGTCATGGGTTTGGAATGTCCTGCCCAAGCCCGGAGAAACCATGCCCTGATCTCATCATACCTGTGCAGAAAAACTTTTGTGTTTTATGTCTCCCTTTGTGTTATCTGCTCCCCCCATGTAATCCCCCTAAGATAAGATGGGTTTTCCCCTATGATGTAAGTGCTAAGACCCAAAAGTTGGTAATTTAGGATTTCCCCTTTACCTCATCCCTATAAAGTCCCTAATTGTAATAGTTCTGTCCCCTGATGAATATGTAACCCCCCCATTGGATATGTAGACCCTAAAGCCTTTAAATAAGAACTTGTAAGTCCAATAAAGCATTCCAGCTTCTTGCCTCTGCTGGGATCGTCTTAGCGTTATTGACCTCTGCAGACTTCACTTGGGGAAATTAAATTAATTTATTAGCAATCAAAAACACAGCAGGATAATGAGAAGTAAAACAAATCTTAAAAACACCTTCCCCCTACCCATCCCTCCTGCCCAGGCACTACCTTCTCCCCCACAGCAGTGCAAGGAGACAGGGAACAGGAGTTATGGTCAGTTCATCACATGCTGTTTCTGCTGCTGCTCCCTCCTCAGGTAGTCCTACCCCTGTTCCAGTATGGGGTCCCTCCCATAGGTAATAATCCTCCACAAACTTCTCCAGTGTGAGTCCTTTCCATGGACTACAGTTCTTCATGAATTGCTACAGGATGGGTCCCTTCCATGGGGTGAAGTCCTTCAGGAACAGGCTGTTCCATCCTAGGTCCCCCACAGGGTTACAAGTCTTGCCAGGAAACCTGCTCTAGCATGAGTTCCTCTCTCCATGGATTGACAGATCCTGCCAGGAACCTGCTCCAGTGTGGGTTTCCCATGGATCACAGTCTCCTTTGGACATCCACCTCCTACACAGACTGCAGATGGATCGCTGCATCCCTCCGGGGGTTGCGTAGGCACAGCTGCCTCACCAGGTTTTTCACCATGGGCTGCAGGGGAATCTCTGCTCTGGCACCTGGATCACCTCCTCCCTCTCATTCTGCACTGACCTGGGTGTCTGCAGGGCTGTTTCTTTCACTTATTCTCACTCTGCTCTTCTCTGGCTGCAATTACTTCTGCAAAATAGCTTTTTTTCCCTTCTTAAATATGTTATTACGGAAGCATTACTATCATCTCTGATGGGCTCGGCATTGGCCAGTGCCAGCTCCGTCCTGGAGCCGGCTGGCGTTGGCTCTGTTGGACGTGAGGGAAGCTTCTACCAGCTTCTCAGAGGAGCCACTCCTGTAGCCCCACCCGCTACCAAAACCTTGCCATGCAAACCCAATATAATTACTCAGCTGGGGAAAATGTTACATTTAAAAAGCGTTACTTGATGAGATTTTTTTTATAATTTTTTGCTTATTAATTTGACGAGGAATTCCTCATTTACTTCTGAATATCCCTCAGTCAAAGAGTAGTTAGTAGCACTAACTAGCCCATGAATGCGAACACTGTACCCATTACAACTCGTGCCCAACACCAATATGCCAAATAACTCAGCAATTACTTTTTAGTAGGATCAACAATTTTCCCCATGAAAAGTGTAGTGCCAGTTAGCTTGTCAGAGATCAAAATAAGGAAGGGCTTGTTGAATTTGATGGTAACAGAAGGATACAGAACTCTGGTAGAGATTACAGCAGTGGCTCCTGCAGCTTCAGATCCAGCCTCATCAACTTCCAGCAGGGCCTTGTGAATTGCCTGCAGAGAAAAGAAGAAAACACTGTGGTTTATATATGGGACAGGAAGAAGGAGGTAAAATAAATTCTCTTCTTATGGAATATTTAGGAGAAGAAAGGAGTGATAAATCCAGTGGATGAAACTTTATTTTATGGTAAATCTCCAACAGTCTGAAACAGGAGTGTTTTCTATGTCAGGACCGAAAAAGGAGAGCCAAAAATAAACAGGGACACCCTGTAAGTACATTCTCACTAGTGCTGAGCAGAGAGAAATAATAACAGCTCATGCACAAACTAGTTTATTTTCTTAGATGGTTAGGACTTCCAATAGCAACACTTTCTTTTATTCCAAGGTTAATGAAACACTGCTATTTAAATGCTAATACAGGGCTAGTATTTGGCATCTTTAACATTAAATCATAGCTTAAACTGACATAGCAAAATTCTGCTTCTGCAAACTGGAAATCTCCTGGAAACTTTGAGAATATTAAAAAATTAGGTAATAATCAACACAAAGATCATAATATACTCCTCATTTAGAGTTTCACACAATATTATATAAAATATTATATTCCAGTGCCAAGAAATCATTTAAAGTTGTTCAACTGTTCCATGTACTTAATATCCAGCCTTTTAATAGCAATATTAAAGTGATACAAAAGTGATCCAGAAGATTCTTTCTGTAGAAAAGCAAAATTACTAAGCAAGCCCCTACATTTCGTTGTGAGTTTTACCTATAACTTCAACAATAAAAGGAGGGGAAGAAAGTCTTTAAAAACCCCAGACACAATTGATCGAAACAACCAACCACCACCCCATCACTAGCACTTACTTGTGAAACCTGGAGATTACGGCTGCCACTAATTCCAGACAGATCAGCATTACCTGAGAACACTTCAGTAATGCCCATTTTCTCAAACAGGTTTTTAACATCGTAAGACCCACTAATAGAAAACTTCGGTAACTGCAGATTTAATCTCCTGTTGATCAAAGAAAACAAAACAACAGTGAGGCATTCCAGGCCTGTTTCAGCCAGCAGGATGGATAGTATGCAATTCAGCGACACTTGAAAGAATTCTTTTGATTGCAGACTTGTTTGATGGTAGCATTTGTATTCCTTGAGCAATCTTGGTATCCAGAGAGATGCTTCATCTTCTTGTTTCTACGTTCTCCATTTGATTTTTGTGAAAAGAAACAAATTTCTTCAATGCTACTCATTCATCCCAATGCCACATACATACAGCTAGCAGAGTTTTTTGGCTAGAGAGTTACAGAGAATAAGCAGACTGACTGTGGAAAGCCTAAAATAAGGGAAAAGGAGGAAAAATCTATCATGATAAAATTCATGGTGAAGAAAATGAATTGTGTGGGCACCATGAAAGAGGAGGTACGGTAGTCAAAAGGCAGCCAAGCAAGTCTTGAGGCAATTGTTACAATGCTGTGACCCCTTCTGTCTGGTCAGAGAGCCTGCAGTTTCTTAGCAGTTATGCTCTTCTCTGACTCATTTGGGGAATTGCTTATTTATGAAATCAGGACAGTATATCCAGCAGGCGATGATCCGAACTTAGCACTTCCTTTTAAAAACAGTGAATTGTTCTCAAATATAGTAATCCATCTACCTAGAGTTACCTGGGCATAAGTTTGTTATTCCATTTGCAAAGAGTTTCCTTGGAGAGAGCATCTTCCACTTGCTTCATCTTTCCGTCATCAGGCAGAATGAGCAATGCTCGTGCAGTGCCCTGGTAAGGCAGCTCTATCACCTCACAGAAGAGATCCTGGTCGTAGTAACTGTTAGAGTTACTGTCATGCTGCATCATGTTGACTCTAACAGATGCATTTGTGTTCACAAAAAAATCATCCTCATATGTACGCAAAGGATCAAAAGACTTCTCCCAGGCAGCTAATGGGGGAAAAGATAAGATATTGCACTCAAATGTGATAATCATAAGAAATGGCTCTTCTAAATTAGACCAACTTAAATGTAGGACAATGGAGGGCTATTTATGGGAGAATATGATCACTAAATAATTTCAACCTCCTGCATAACACACAATAAAGCAATTTTAGCTGTGCAGTAAGCCCAGCATAGTAAGTGTAAGTAAGTCCTGTCTTGCTGAAAAACAACAAAAGGCTGATGAGGACCAATTGAGAGTCCTTCTACTGTAGCCATATGTAATGCCTTTTATGCCATTTAAATACAATGACTTAAACATTCAGCCACAGGACCTTCTTCTCATACCTTTCCTATTATGCTATGCCCCTACAAAAGCTGACTGTACACAACCTGGTGAGGAATTCATCAGCAGAATAAAGGGTCTTAACATTTGATCAAGCCTCCAGAGACACAGGCCCTCAAAATGCTCTACCCCAAATTTTCATGCAATGCACCTAGTGGATCTACCATAGAACTGGGGACCCTATGAGAGAGTATCAGTCCACCAAGTTTGACTGGCATGTACAGTCAGCATAGAGATCTTGGAAACATCTTTAGTCATTGTGCTCTCAGACCAGTGCGACTATGTGCAGTGGATTCCTGTCTATGAGAGGTCCACTAGAGAGGGACTTCTCTGTCTACAGCTTTCAGGCAAACTGGGTCATGATTAAGAAATCAGTATTTCTCAACAATCAGATACCCTGCTCTTGGCCAGATCGAATCTCTACTTTGAAGGTTCTGCGCAGTTTAGTTCTTTCCTAAATAGTCACTCTGGTAACGAATCATCAGGACTTCCCTAAAATTTTTATCAAAACCATCTATTGGAATATTATGTTAAATATCTTACCTTTAAAATAAATGTAGTTAATTAGAACTAGTACAGTACTTGGTTCAAGATGACCAACTAATTCAGGAATTTTCCCCTTGGTTTTCTCCTCTATATATTTATTGATTTGCTTCTTAGTTTCTTCTGGTTTATGGAAATCGCTATTAAAAAAATCTGCATCATAAAATTGTTTGATATTTTGTAAAAATGACTCCTGTGGTTCATACCCAGTAGCTGTAAAAATGGCATTCCCTATATTTAATGTGATATTAGCATCAGCACAGTTCAGTATGGATAAAACTTTGTGAAAACTGTCATGTATTTCATGTATGCGAGCCTCAGTCAGATCGTCAAAGCCCAGTCCTCCAAAAATCTGAGACAGGGTGGTTGACTTAGCACCAACAGCCAGCATGGCAAATGCAGTGGAGATGCTCATGGGAGAAAAGAAAACATTTTCATCAGCTTCTTTTGATATAGCCTGCTTGTAAAATCTAAATACAAAATCTGCATAGTTTGAGCCTTGCTTGTCACAGTTATGTGTTAATAAATTTTCTGTTCCATCTTGCAGATTAGTATTGTTGACTTCATGGCAAATATCTTCATGGCGGCAATGGGTTACAGCACAAAGAACAGCAAGGAGTAAACACAGGCACAGGATACACTTCATCTTCTTTTGAAATTATTCTGTCACAAAATAAACAATCATTAAATGAGCAGATGGTAATGATGTGCTTGGTAGTAAGGAATAATAAATAGTTTGTTACCATAAATATTACGTAGTGCAACTGTAAATATCTAATATACACATGATATTTACAGTTCTCATGGGTAAAATGTCAAATTTAATTAATAAATTCAACCAAGTTGTAGATTAAAATGTCAGCATAATAAAACCATCATATTTCATTGTAACTGGCCTGAAAAGGCAATACTTTTCTTCATTATAATATATTGGCTATGAAAACATAGAGCTAAAGTTCACAATACTCTCAATTAACAATTATTTTCCTATAATCATTGTCTCCCATAGGGTACATCTAAACAAACAAGTTACCACGAGAGAAGACAGGGTGTGGGTTTCAAAGACATCAAATACTCCACAGCATCTGCCCAAAAGCAATTTGATAAATGTAAGGAAATGTGAGACATCTTGCTGCTCACTGGAAGTGGGGTAAATTCCCTCACCTCCACCAAGGCAGCAGCACAGAGGCAGACAGCTATCACAGACTATTTGGTGCTTGTTAAATTCACACCTCTGCCTCATGGCCCTGTTTACTTACTCACATGGCCAGTCATTGGCCACAGCTGGTGGTGGAAGAAAGGCATGAACTTCAAGGCAAAATTCAAGGCAAAAGCCTGGAGCATCCTGTGACATGACAGCAGTGCACGCAGAAATGGGCACAAAGACATGTGGGAAGCAGCAGGTTTGCATCAGAAAATGAGGTGCATATTTGGAGTGAAGGAACCTTTCTTTTTTGGTGGCTGCAACAAGTGTTTGTAATTTGTTAAATGATGTTTTGCCCCTCACCAGTGGGTTAACTTGCATGGGATATGGGAAAGACCTGGGTCCAAGAAGAAGAGGACCATTGATCCCATTTGGAAATCAAAAGACATAGATTGATTTCTTTGGAGATGGAAAGTTTCTTTGTTATGCTTGTTCTCCTAATGCTGATGTAATATTCTTCATGTGAGTCCCTGCTCTCCACAAGAGCTGGGACAAGTCTCTGGTTTACTGAATTCAGTTCCCTGTTCTGGAGGCATCTCATATAAACCCTCTTCAGAGCTGTAACAAGCTATCAATGAAAATAAGCTTTTTGTTCTTGTAGCTTCTGCATGAAAATATTTCTAGAACTTTTCTACTGTTATGGCTTCTCTTCTGGTTTCCAGCCAATGCAGCCTATTTGTAGCCTTTTCTTCCAGGAACATGTTTTCCCGTGTTCTGCCATGGTAAAGTTGTCTTGGTCCTACATTCATTCCCAGATGTGAAAGATGATTGTCTTTACTATCTAAACAACATTTAGATGGAGTTTCTGAGGGCAGCCCAAGTTCAAGGATTTTGTTTTATTTTTTTATTGATGATCTTCCTTGTTTTTCTAGCAAACATATACACTAGCTGTGTGTTCTCATATTTGCTTAGATCTGAGTATGCTGAGTGTGCCTGAGAGAAGATAGGGTCCACTGCAGTGACCTGCAGTAAAAAGTGGTAACACTAAATTTGAATTTCCTTAAACCAAAAGATGGAATATGGCTCTAGATGATTCAGCTATTTGCAGCTCTTTTAAGCAGAACTCTTCCCTGTTCTTCACAGCCAAAAAAAACCCCCAAAACCAAAACCCAAACAACCCTTATGTGGAAAAATGAAGTAATAATGTAGTACACAGGGTGTTTAACATCTTGTAGGCTGTTTATCTCTAGGTATTTGAGATATTACACACTCAGGTAAGAAGATAATTTTTATCTGTCCATGTTCACTTCCTGTGTCCATACAGAACTTAGCCTGAATTTCAAAGAATTTCTGAAGCAAAGAGTATGGTTTAGTTTTTTTTCTGCAGCAAGCTTATATTAGGCATGTCTCTGTTATAGCTTCTACTATAACAGATCAGTTAAAAAACTTTTCTTAGTATCAGTGCTCTCTGTAGAAATCTGAAAGAAATGCTTCTACCAGAAGCTGGAAAACACTGAATATTGTCATCAAGTTTTCCTCCCATACTTTTCCCTTTAGAGATGAAATCACATTAATTTCAACATTTTGAGATTAGAAAATTTCACACACAAATATTTTTGTTAACACTTCAAAGCTGAAGAAATTGGAAAGGCTTTACTAAATCTGGCAGTACTTTTCATGCAAATTGGAAATTCAGAAAATAATTCTCTTCCAGACCACATATTAGTTTGTCTATGGGAATAAAAGGGGCAATTAAATTTAAATTGTAGCCTTCCACCCGCCCCCCGTTACACTCACCCCTGTCTAATTAGAAAGCATGGCTTTAGCAATTCAATGATTGTTTTTTAAATTAAGTCACTGAAAGAATTTATAAATTGGACCTGGTTGTTCAGTAAATAGTGGGATTATACTAATTTTGAGTCACTGTGAAGACTGTTTCAACCTAAAAGGTGATTACATCAGTATTCTGTTTTGACAACTACTTAATAAGTCCCCATGACTTCAAAGGTTATTTTAGTTTGATTTCAGGCTAAGCATATTCCCCCAGAACAGCAGGTCCCACTGGTCCCTTACATGTCTGCTTGATTAATCTTCCATTGCAACATCTGCACAGAACCAAATCACAAGCAGACAAATGAAATTAACCTAATATTAAAATTCAACCAACCACAGAAATCATCGTTTGCAAGTCTCCAAGAAAAGTGTGTGTGTAGTACTTACGAAATCAGAAGCCTTGTTGCATTCAGCTGACCATGTTTGTTCCCCACACTGTTACTTATACTAGTACATCATCTTCTGCTTAATTAGTGCTGTTAAACATTAAACAGATCTGATAAAAATTAGAGCCAACCAAAAAAAAGGGGGAAGCAAAGCAAATATTGGTGAAACAGGTTTGCGAGGGTCATCTCTATTATTCAGCCAAAGAAGCTGACAATCTTCAGCCATTTGAAGAGTAGCTGTGACATTCTCTCTGTTGGCTTTGGCCATGCGGAGCAGATGAGGGCAAACATTGTGTAATTAGGACCCTACTGGAAACCAGGAGGTTGTGCCTGGAACCACCGGAAACAGATAGCGAGTCTTGGTGCCAGAAGTCAGACTCTTTGTGCTGTGATGAAGTACACATGGAGCCATGTATCACATCAGCTTGGTGCTCTTCCAAAGTCTATCCAGAGCAAAATCTTCTGCCTGATCCTCAGCCTGTGTATGGATGACAAACTAATTGCCTGTGCTTTCTCTCTCTGTCTGTAGCTGCATACCACTGAGAGGATATGTGACAGACATGTTTCCCTGATGGATTTCCTACTCTGGCTGATGTTGTCCCTTCATCTATCTCAGTACTGCGTGGATCTCAGTTACTGCCTCAGGCAGGTGGCGGGAACACAAGAAGCAAGCTGTTTACTCCCACACGTGCACATACTGCATGTGAGCACTCACTTCTCGTTCTCTTTGCCCTCTCACACACTTCTAAATTGTTTAAATGAAAACAAGTACTGCTTGTTTCTATTAACTTTTTTGAATAGGAATTAAGTGCTGATGAATCAAGCTGACTGATTTTTTCCAGTTAACAACAAAGACCATGATCGAGTGCTGACATGAAGTACGTTTCCCCATTTGGGACGACTCTTTCCTTTGTACTTGTTTACTCACGTGTGTAATTTTGTCATTACAAACATAGATAAACATGGAGACAGAACATAGATAAACCTTGTCTGGACACTCCCCTTCTTTGTTTTCCTCTTTATTTCTTCACTCCGAAACCCCCACCCCCCAACTCCCCTCCCCTTTCCTTTTTACTTGTTCCTTCTAATTCTGCCTGTAAAGGTCACAAACACAGAGATTATGTTACTCATCAAAGCCTAGGTGACTGACAGATCACGGTGGTCAAGGATGAACTGTGTTACAAAATGGTTATAAGCCTCTTGTTTTCTCTTTCATTTGTGATGCCTTGTAATTATTGTTTTGTTCTTAATAATGCTAAGCTAAAATTTAACAAGGCATTTCCCTAGCATTTCATTATAGAAGCAACAATAAGGTGCTACAGCAGCTTGAAACTAAAATGATGAGGACATGCACGCATGCCAGGTGTACCACGCACTGCCACAAGCCATTACAATCCCACCTGTCTACTGACCACAATTTCATCTCTAAAACTATGTCATGAAACCACGTTAACCAGCTTTGTACTGATCATTTATATACTGAACTAGATCTTTCACTCTATTATTTATTTTTAATAGGAATAAAAGTACAGAATACTGAAATAACCAAACAGATGGGTTTTATTCCTTCTGATAATTAAAATCACGACAAAGTCTACATTGCCCAAGTCCATGTTACTGCTGCGCATTTCATGTAGGTCAGTTTCGATACCACACCCCAACTCATATTTTGACATCTTTAGAAGAAATAGACCCATATAATAGTTCATGCATTTGCTAACATCTTGCAAACATCTTCCTGACTATCGGTTTTGTTTTGAACAGACCATTCTGAAACAGGTTTAAAGAGTTCTTAATTAACCAATGACTGTTATATTCGATGGCAACAGAACCACTCAACTTGCCCAGTGTTCAAAGGAAATCAGAGATTTTTTGTCAATTTAGCAACAATAATAGCTGTTCTAGGATTACAGCTCACAGACACACAGGTTACTTCAAATATAAAAAAATCTTTATCCCTTTTATAAGTTACACGAAGATTTGCAAGTGTAAGGTATATAGATCACAAGTATATTAACCTAGCAGCAGTATGAAGGAAATGGAGTATAGAATTAGGAAGAAAATGGACATTACCTTCCCTTTCATTCCCTCACCGATAATTCTGAGTTATGCAGAAATCTTTGGGAAGGATCAGGCAGTCAGAGTGCAGGGAGAATGTTAAGATTGAAGATGTATGCATGTCTGGTGAACTACGGTTTTTCTAGTCTGGATGACATATACAGTGAAGAATAAAGGTGCAATCTGCACACAGTGGTCATGCCATGCTCTCAATACTTATTGAAGAATCTCTTCCACTGTCCTGTCAGAAAGAAAAAATTCAGTGGTTTAGAAAGGGACTGTGAAATGAGGATGAAATATAGTCTATATACAGTGAAAAAAAAACATTCACAAGAAGAAGGAAATTCTGCTCACAGAACTTTTTTTTTCAACTGAATTAGTATCACTCATATGAACTAAGTAGAGAGCAGGGACAAGAATTTTTTAAAAAAATTACTATACCAGTGGCAATCACCGATAGTGAACACTCATCATCATTTTTCAGTTTCAATGCCAGCTGCAAATTCTACAGTAAATGTAGCAGGTGTGTTACATGTATGGTGCACCAATAACTGAATCTCCTACTGCTGCTTCAGTGTGTGCAGGTTGGCAGGCATGACACAAGACCTATAGAAGACTTGAGACCTCCTGTTAAAGGGGCAGGAGAGTAGACAGGTTGCTTTAGCATAAATACCCGTTATGTAGGCCCCAGAATCTTTCAAAAGAAGGCCTGTTTTTCATTATTTCTACATGTAATATCTTTACCATGGACTTTCTTTTCAGACTTGAACGTTTCTGCAATACTAATATTAGTAACGAAAGAGCTTACTGAGATTTAATATCTCAATGATTTCCAGAAGGGGTACTGTGGAGAAAAAAATTTTTATTCTGTTTTATTTTCCTCCTAACCCCCAAAATAGATGAAAAATTACTCTTATTGACTTTAAAGATCTCCAATATATTTTCCATTGCCTAAGTACGTTTCAAGATACTGAAATGATTTCAGGCTGGGATAGACCACCTGATGAGAGAACCGCTGGACTGAAAATTAAGGATAGATGGCTATCTCTGTTGAGCAGCTCAGTTTTGACCTTGGGAACATCACCAATAGGCTTCAGTCTCCTCATCTGTAGAATAAAAATGACACATCAAACTTTGTCATTGAGATTAGATGGCATGAAAATAAAAAGTTACTTTCAATGGCCTTTAGCATCGCTTTAGTTCTTATTGAGGTTAATGAAGACAGGATAAGTTTTTATCAGTTTGATTCCAAGGCATCTCCTTTGGCAACAGTGACACATAATCTGAAAATCTGTGGTCTGCAGATGCAGCTTTATACAGCTTCAAAGTGAAAATGGAAATGTTCCTGAATTGCAAGCTTCCATAAACAGTCCTCTGTACTTTTCAGAAAGCATCTTCTTTCCTGAAATGCTTATTTTGTTCAAGGGGTGGCAGTTACCCAGGTACACTACAGCACGGGGAGAGGTGATTAAGCACACATAAATTGC